AGTTATTTAACACGGTTGACTACGACCAAAAACTCAATATATTAGCGTTCGATGTTAGGGCCAACTTAACTGGGTGAGTGTCCGTTGGGTGTGTGATTCTGAGGTGTGTTGGGTATAACATTACATTTTCTTCTGTTAATCGGATTTGGTAGATCGTTCACAATTTCTGTACTTTTTGGTGTTTCTTCCTTTGACTTTACATATTTTACTCTATGGTATGTTTTTAAATTTATACAATAAGTACAACAAATTGCTTATAATAATGATAGCAAAGGTTGTTAAAGTAATTATTTGGAATACATTATAATATTTTGTGTGTGATTCTATTATCTCTTTCGTTTAAACATAAAATAATGGTTTTATTTTTGTTACATTATTATTTACGTATAGGCTCTTTGTGTAATCTAACATTGTATTTGAAAGAGTGAATTCACCCAATTGTACAGAACAATTAAGGCTTTTAACAAGGTTACTTCCAATATAGAAATTTCTTTATTAATGCAATTTTGATTTAACAATGTTTTAGGGATATTCCAAGTCAGTGTTTTCTTATCTAAATATTCCACTTATACATTCATTAAATACAATTTTTCCTGTTTCTTTGTTAAATATTTCATCTTCATATGAGTAATATTTGTCGAATATATTTTCTATTAAAATATTGCTATTTTCATCGGGATAAAGAATAATTTCAAAAACGGTAGATTTAACTATTTCTGGAGGAATATGGGAAATAATCAAAATTTTATTTGTGTCTGTTTTAAGCCAAGTGGATGTTTTGATTTGAACAATTTCTCATGGTTCATGTTTTTCAAATAATCGTGTTTTAATAATTTTAGGTTAAATAAACCTAATCTTGTCAGCTTCATCCCTAATTCGATATCTTCTACATATTCTGTAAAGTGTTGTGAATTAAATATTAAAACGCTGGCTTGTCGCTTCCTTTCTCCGTCTTCTTTTAATTTATTAATACTTCAATTCCTTTATTTATAACATCGATAATAATATTTAAGTCAGTGTTCTGAACACTAGTATCTACCCAAATATTAAGTTTTTGTTCCATCTTATCTGTATTGTATTGATCTAATGTTCCGAATAAATATTTGTAAACTGATCCTATAATATTGACTAGACCTCTCTTACTACGTTTTGCTATTATAATTCCATTGATTTCTCTTTTAAATTTCTCTACTAGATATTTGATTTGGATAATGTCATTAAATTCACTAGCTGCTTTTAAAAGACTTGTTGGTTTGGTTTGTTCAGTTTTTGTTATTTTTAAACTTAAGTTATGATATTGATAATTAGTCGGGATTTCTATTGATTCGGTTTTAAATTGTTAGTTGAATTGCAGAAGCTAATATTAAGGAGAAAATTATTGTTTTCATTGAGTTTTTGCTGAGTCCGTTTATTTCCTTCCGTTTGCCTGGAATTATCATCGTATTTTCTTTTATTAATTTTGAATTTATTATTTTCTTCATGGTTCCTATCTTCTTAAATGGATTTGTGGTTTTAGATTTTACCAAAGGTGCTTGGGTATATATTGTATCCACTTCATAATCATGACGTTTTTCATTTAATTTTTCAATTCTATTTATTTTATTTTCTTGTGTGTCATAACCAGCAGTTCCTGCATACATAAATATGTCAGCTGGTATTTGATTTGTAGCATTATGTTTTTTTATGATTAGAAATATACAGAATTAATTCAAGCTTAGAATATGTGTTCTCAATGTCTGTTGTTAATTAAATTTTTACTCCTTCCGAATTTAACCATTTGTGCAAGGCTTCACACATTAATGCTGAATCTTTATCGGATTTAATTTCTTCTCTTTTAGCTTCTAGACAATCTTTACTTGTGACTTCTACTAGAGTAGCAAATTTTGAATATACGTCGATAAATAATAAAAATTGTTGATTACCAACCATATAAATATCCATGACAAATTGTTCTCTTATATTTTGAATTTCTGGAGAGGGTTCAAAGGTCAATTTGGTATTTCTACGTTTTAGCAATGTTGCAAGTTTCACATTCATTTATTATATTCTGGATTGATTTTTGATAGTCAATGTTTGTGGGGAAGACAACAAATATGCCACCCTTATATTTATAATTAATAACGCACGAATAGGTAATATTAAAATGTATAGCGTTTATTCGGAGCGGCAGACGGAGTGGGTAAAGGCTCGGCTCCAAGAACTTCATATAGACATTTGCAGGCTTACAAAGTAGTTGCTGAACAGATAAGCGACAGCTTGAGTGGTATAAGAAAGAAGGCGATGAAGATAAGCAAAGAACGCTGCAGGTGCCGTCGTACACCTATACGCGCATGACTAGGCGCTGGCGATCTGCTCCGAACAGTCAGGGAAAAAATATTTTTCTCTAAACCATTTAATAGTCTTTTCGATTCCTGGGTGTAAAAATTCCTTATGTCGTTTCAATGTTGTTTTTATTTACATTTATAATTTCCACAAAAGCTTTTTAGAATGTAAGAAACTCTGAGTCATTATGGAAATATATTGCACTCCTTTTAGTACATAAGTATTCTTTGATTATTTCTTTTGCTAAAGTCTCTCACAATTCTTTATGATATAATTAATTAATTAATTAGTTTGACTTGTCGGGAAAAATAAATAAATGGTCTCTCGGTTATAGAAATATAATTTTGGTTGTCCTTTTGAGCACTTACACTACTGGCTGTTTCTCCTGGAATGGTTTCTTTTTCTATCTGAAAACATATTTTCTTCTATTTTAGTCCTAGATAATGCGTCAGCTACATAATTTTCTTTTCCTGACAAATATTTAATCTGATAATCATATTCGTTTAATTTTATTTTCCATATTTGTAGTTTCATATTTGGCTCTTTTGTGTTGCTTAACCAAACAAATATTTAATCTGATAATCATATTCGTTTAATTTTATTTTCCATATTTGTAGTTTCATATTTGGCTCTTTTGTGTTGCTTAACCAAACTAAAGGTTTATGAGCGCTTAAAATTTCAAAAGACCTGCCGATAGATATGATCTAAAATATTTGGCAGCCCTTACGATTGCAAAATGTTATTTTTTTATGGTAGCGCAATTTATTTCGTGTTTGCTAAGAGTTCTGCCAGCATAACAAATTGATTTATGATTTTGTGACAATACTGCTCCTATCGCCATGTTGCTTGCGTCTGTTGTTAAAGAGAATGGTTTACTAAAGTCCGCATAAATTAAAATGGGGTCTGATGTAATTAAAACTTTCATTTTTTTCAAATGCTTCTATGTAAGATTTTTCTTTGATATTAATTGTGGCGGCTTTCTTTAATTTCATTATCATTGGTTTTAATTGGCAATGTCCGGTATGAATATTCGATAAAATCCACACAATCCCAGAAATGATTTAATTTGTTTTGGGGTTTTTGGTATTGGGAAATTTATAATAGTCTCATCCTCTCCTATATCATTTTCACCATATTTTATCTCCAATATTTGTTGTCATTATATTGATAGATGACCCTGTATCTATCATGGCTCTAAAAAGTTTTCTTTTAATCATTACTCTGACATATGGGCAACACTTTCTCTATGCGAGGCAATTTGCTGAAAACACTTTCTATATCCGAGGCAATTGGCTGAAAATTACGTCCATTCTAGTCTGCACACTGTCATTCTCTCCTTGTCTTTTAACAAGTACATTCGAAGAGTTATTTGACGTTGATGCTTGGAAATTTAAAGGGTTTTGGGCCCTACCTTTGTCTAAGTTTCTCCTATACTCATGATAATTTCCCTGACTTTGAGGGGAAATATGGTTGGAAATATTTGAATTATTATTATTTCTTAGATAACTATACGAACGAGAATTATTCCTTTGACAACAATAGTTTTGATGTGTATTTCCAGAATTCCTTCGACTATCGTATCGTCTAGGTTTATTATTATCAAAAGGGTCTGCATCCCAATGACCTAAAACCATTGCTGCTTCTTTTAAATTGACAAGTGTTGCTATATCTTTTTTGGACAGAGAGTTATACAATCTATCAGGAAGTTTTCTTTTGATACAATCCATAATTGTTTTTTTAAAGAGCTGAATCGACGATGTCCTCCAATGGCTCCATAGATTATGTGGGTTTGATGAACATCTTGGGTATGATATAGTTGGAGTAAGTACTTCACTCTGGCAAAATAGCGTCTTAATTCTGATGGACTTCCATCGAAATAAGATAGCTCCTTGATTTGTTCGATTAGCTCAGACATCTGCAGTAATACTGGTAGACTTGCCATGTTTAATGTTGTTTGTTTCTTAATTTTGTTTTCAATATTGGCACGTTTATTTAAACTTTACCGAATTGACCGAAATGTATATTTTTATTTTTGTTTCTGCGTGCGAAAATTACACATAGATTCTTTAGCGGAGCTCGATATTTCTCGTTTTGTATATTCACGGAATTTTCGCTGTTCAGGATAAACTAGTCGTTTAGTATTATCCTTTACTTGATCAGTACCGGTGACTTTTTAAAAGGACTTTAAGATCCTATTGACTGCGCCAATTACAAGTTTGCACCATTAGTTTAATATAAAAATAAACTATATTTAATTTATTTTCAAACTGGTTACAATCTTATTTTGATGTTGGAAGAACACTTACATGCTATTAACAAATCTCTAACTAATCTCGCTTCTTATCATAATCTTCTTCGACGATCATACCTCGGTTTTGAGACTTAGAGCTTTTTATGAGTGGACTTAGCTTTAATTGAGTGAGTCTCCTAATTGCCCTTTATAGTGTTGATTGATAATGCACCGGCGGCTCAATCCAAATGTTTAGTCTAGATCTTGAGTCTTCTTTCACAAGGTAATTTTCCATTGATGGTCCAAAAATGTGGGAACGAGTTGATAGTGTAACTTGGTTCGATCTGGATGTTTAGTCTAGACATTGGGTGCACTTGCAATTAGATACAGGCTGGTTGGAGTATTAAGGTTTTCTGAAGCGTAGATTCTGGGGTGGTGCCTGTGTGTGGGTGTATCAACATGTGCATAGAGTTATGTGGAGCTATGGATATGTCACTATCTTATATTATTATATTAATTTTTGGAAAAATTATATTAAAAAAACGAATCGTTTGTCACTATGCCCTTCACAGGATCACTAACCCAGTCGTCCTAGCCATGTCCTTCTGTCTGTCCGTCCGTATGAGCGCGGAGAATTTGGAATGCAGATTCCTGGGGTTCTTGCGCAGCCGAAGTTTATTTCAGCAAGGTTCGACTCTTACTATATTTCTCTCTACTATTTTGCAACCTAGCACTACAAAAAAATACTCGTAATTTAATGTGCTCGTCACGTTGTGTTGACAATAGTTTATAATAGTTTCTAAAAAAGCTTATTCTAAATATAATTTCACAAATTAATCAATTAAATAACATTAACACCATCAAAAATTAAAATAAATTTGTGCCTGATTTTAATTTAAAAACAGAAATTGAGCTATTAAATTTATTATACTCTTAACTCAGATAGATTTTTCTTTAAGGTGTCTGGTTAGGCAAGATTTATTTTTTTAAATTTATTGTTTTTAGATTGTGTGGGAGCTGGTTCCAAAGACGAGCAGAGTTAACAAAAAAATTAAATTATTTATCCTTCGGGAAACACTAAAGTTTTACTCGGAAAAAAGGTGCGAAGGATCCTTAGTGTGTATTATTCTATGAATCAATGTCAAACTCGTTAGATCAATTAAAGATTTGAAGTCTAGTCTGTAATTTTGATTGGTAAAGACCGAGATATGGTCACGCGGTTTTTTTAATATCTCGCAATATTATTAAATGCGACAATCATTTTCCTAAAGCTAACTCCATCACAGCAACCAAGATCTTCAATACCATGCATTAGGGATGGGGTCAGATAAGTTTTCGCAAATAGGGATCTAACTTCGAGGGGAAGATATAACTGAAAGACGTCGAGTTGTCTCAAAAGCCCGTATGTTTTCCCTACTGCTCTATGTATGTGGTCGGTCCACATTTAGGTACTGTTGAACGTGACCCCATAATTGACTTCGCGGTCAACATACGGTAGCAGCGTAGAACTAATAAGAACTGGATGTAAATTTTCTGTTTTAATTTGTTTTTTTTGTGTATAACCGTTCGCTTTCGCCCGTTCGCTTGGGCCGGGCCTGGAGGGCGATTATAGCCCTGGCTGAGGACTTCTCGCCGGAGGCCAATGCGGGTCTCCACAAAGGAAAACTTTCGCACTATCGTGAGTTGCGCAAGGGCAGTCCGAGGTTCGGCTGCCAGACAAAATGGCGGTACTTCTCAACGCCGCGATGCGACTGCTGGAAGTTCCCGAGACGAGTTGGACGCTGTAATCCGGAACGGACTCACCGGGAAATGCTGAATGTCGTCAGCGTCGACTGTGATAGGCGATTATGGCTGGTCCTCTGTGCGGGTCGAACGGACACCGGTTGCTGGCAGCCCAAATCGTGGCTGGTATTTATGGCGAAGTCGCGCAGAAGTCCGTGGAACTCCCAATTAAATGTCCCGGGGCCCTTTGTGTTGGTGCCCCGGCCGCCTTTTTAAAAAAATTTAATTAATAAATAACGAACTAACTTGCTAACTTTCCTATCACTCACTTTAATTTAGTTTTCAGCACACAAAATGTATCTTAGAACTTCCAGCTGCATCTGCTTGGTTGGACAATATGGCTGCGACTATATTAATATCTGCTGATCATGATCGTTCCTCCCCCGCCATTTTACAGAGCCTCTCCCAAAATTGGGTCATTGAACACATGAGTGCCATTTAAGGTATTCTCAGAGCGAACCGGAATTAATCCTCAAATGGCCAGATCGCCCGCCAGTTTCATCCCGCTGCTGCAGCTATCGCCCTGTCGACCTCACCTATCGACAGAGTCCCTCCCATTATCGACTCCAATTGCAACATCGACCAAAGATTTCGAAAGGTGCTACCCGGAGTTTCAGAAGAGCGACGAAATAATTGGTAGCTTTGGAGATACGATGGGACTCAACACGGCACTGATACCATCCTGCAGTTCAATCGGCGGCTAACGCGGGGCCCTCGCATGACGGGAGGTATAGCAGATGTGTTCGCGATGCTCGTATACTTTGTTTGTCCTTCTTTCAGATCACAACCGGATGTCCTTGGCGTGATACAATTCCTTACTGCGGCCCTAGAGGTCCTCTAGGAAGTATGCATTGCTGCCGACGGATTTGACCACCCTGGCTTTTAAGAACTTGAGAGCAAAGATTTGCTGATATCACTCAGCACGAAGTTGCGGCGGAAGACTTCTTGGCCTGGCTTGGCGAGCAACGTACGGGCTCGCTTATCATAACGTTGCCGGCTCGTCTCGTATGCCCCCTCCAGTTGCTTCTGCACGCTGGCGTAAATAACCCGAAGCTTGTCCTTGGTCTGCATTCCGGCCATTTCATGGTCGACCAGGGACCTAAGTCGTCTGGCTAGCTTGTAGCTGGAACCGTTGAGAAACATGTGATGACGGCTAACAGCGGCGCTTGTTTTGTGGCTGAGTGGATAGTGTTTTGGATGGCCACCTCAATCTCCGGCAGATTTGCATTCCATTCTCGGTGATCTTCGTCCAAGAAGCTTCGAATTGCGGCCAAGACATTAATGTTTACCCTCTCCGTGGCAATGCTCTGTGGTGAATATACTGGAGTTTTCATACGCCCCGAACTTGTAAAATACCTCGTTAACCAGGAAATTCACTACGTTCGGGGCCGTCGCCTCCTTCATCGCCTTTAAGAAGGTGTACTTCGAGAAGTGGTCCACCACGATGAATATCCAGGCGTGTCCACTCTTGGACCTCGGATACTTGCCCAGAAAATCAATGAAGAGTTTCTGGAATGGCCTTTCCGTCCCTACCCTTTTTCCGATTCCGACATGCATCCTGAAGTTTGGCGCTTTGGACTCCTTGCACACCTCGCAAGCCGGACGAATTCATGCACCTGGATAGTCATTCCTGGCCAATAGAATTGGCGTCACAGCCAAGGTCTTCGACATCCCACCATGGTCAGCCTTGGGGAACGAATGAGCACGCTCTATCAAGCTGTGCGTTAGGCTTTGCGGGATCCACAGCTTCCATTCTGATCCTTTGCGCTTGAAGATTAGTCCGCCGACCACCTTGAGGTCTGGTAAGTGCTCCCTGTTGGACTCCACGTCTTGCACTAATTCCGTGTAATCCTCCGCATCAAATTCGTACGTCTCGAATGCCAGTAACTCCGTTGGATCTATCCGGACTTCCTCGATAATGCGGGATAGAGTGTCGGGGACTACGTTCTCGTTGCCTTTGCCATGTTCAATGCTGAAATCGTAGCCCTGCAGCTGGAGAGACCACCGTGCGAGTCGTCCGGACAGATCCTTCATTGTCATCAACCACTTTAGACTGGCGTGATCAGTAATGCGTGTGAATGGCATCCCTTCCACATACGGTCTGAACTTCCAAATGGCTAGGATGGCCGCCAGGCACTCCTTTTCCGTGACCGAGTAATTCCCCTGGTGTTTGTTCATCTTGGCCGAGAAGAACGCGATAGGCTGCTCGTCTCTGTCCTGGTTCCGCTGAAACAATACCGCGCTGACGCTAGCTTGGGATGCGTTGCACTGAATGTAGAAATGTTTCTTGAAATGCGCATGAACCAGGACCGGCGCGCTCGTCAAGGCCAGCTTCAGGTCATCTACTGCCTGTGTGGCGCTGGGACTTAAGGAAAACTTTGTGTTTCTAGCCTTCTTCAAGGACTTGGAGAGTGGTGCGGCTAGCGTAGCGAATTTCTTGCCGAACCGTCGATACCATCCCGCTGTGCCGAGGAAGGCTCGTACTTCATTCACTGATTTTAGGAAAGGCATCTTCTGAATTGCCGAAACACGTCCAGGATCCATCCGCAGCAGTCCACCTTCGACTATAAACCCTAGGTAAGTCAACGATTTGAAGCAAAACTTCGACTTCTTTAACCCTATGGTCAATACGGCTGCTTTCAGACTATAGGCTATGGCATCCTTAATGGTCAATGCGTTCAACTTCCGGACATCCAGACAGAACCTGTCTTTCCCTGGCTTCGACAATACTGTTGTGCCCCTTACCTCGTCCTCATCTTCCTGCTCGGCGTAGTGCTCCATCTGGCAGGCATGGATTCCTTCAGCTGCCTTGACGCCTCTCGCCACCGCCTTCCCTACGACGGCTGGAGTTAGTCCGAACGTGCGCCAGAAGTCGACTCCGAAGTAATCAGTTTGTTCCAGGTATGGGCAAAGGAAGAACATCACCGGCTTACTTACGCCTTAGTACTTCACAGGCAGCTCCAAGCGTCCGATAATGGATCGATCCTCGCCAGAAGCCGTCAGGACTACGGAAAAATACGGTTGGTCGGTAACTCCCAGCGTTTCCACGAGCTCTCGACAGCTTTTGCCGCTTTCGGACTGCCCAGCCGACCGTTTTCCGCGCAATCGGGACATTTCGGATAAATCACGCCCGGTCTGCTCGCAATCCTGGAATCCGTGCTCCGCAGCCCGGCAATTCCAGCAACCTGGCCTGAATGGTTTTCGGACACGTCCACGGAGCTCGACGACCGAAACTCCTCTCCACTTCGACGCACTCCTCCCGAAGTTCGTCCACCGTTAGTACAACCATTGCGTAAACGAACCTAGATATTTTGTTCCTCAAACCCTTTTTCACCACCTTCACCAACTGTCGCTCTATCATTGGTTTTTTCAGGCGTGAGGCGAGTTGCTGTATGGAATGGATGTAGTCATCCGCGCTCTCTCCCGGCTGTTGCTCACGCTGTAGCAACTTATGCATCCTTTTGTGTTCCGCCTGGTGACCACAGTGCCGATCCATCAGAGCCCTGCGCAGCTGGGCCCAAGTGTTCACTCTAAATTGGCGTACGTGTACCCAATACCACTTCTTCGTTCTGCCCGATAGGAGTACGTGGAAGTTCCGCAGAACTTAATTCCACGGGCACTGATGCTGCCGATGCAGGAACTCTAGACGGAACACGGAATGGCCATCGTCCTCGCTGCCGAAGGAGAGGTTCTAGAGAGGTTGCCGGCTCCCGCGATGGTGTACAACCGCGGCTCGTCCCGGAAATCCGCCGTTCTTCGGTCCTCGATGCGCCACGGCCGTGCGTGGGGATCACTTCTGCCTGTCGGATGGTACTCCGGTTCCTGGCTCAGGCTGCTGTCGATCCCCGGAGAGTCATTTACCGGCGGTCGAGGTCGCTGCATGGGCGGCAATTCCGGCAGCCTTCGATAGCATCCTCCTGTCTCCTGCCGCTGATGCATTTCCGCTGGGCCATTTGCGCCGACTTCTGGACGCGACGAAGTGGGCACCATCGATGCTTGGCTACCTGCGCTCTTCTGGAGCGGCTGCGGACTGCTCACGGCTGTCCTAAGGACGTCGTTCAGCAACTTCGTCATGTCCATGAAGCCGTTCTTATCTCCTTCCTCAACGCCTGGCTAACTACCAACACTTGAGATGCGCGATAGGTTTGGGCCGCTTGTGCCAAAGCTGCGTTCATCGCCGACTCCACCGCTGTATCCAGTTCCAGGTTCAGAAGAGTCCTTCTGCTCCGAAACCAGAAGTTGCTCCTGTTGCTCGATGATCGCCTTGAAGTCAAGGACCCTGGGCCACCGATGGTGTACCAGATCCGCCGGTTGATGATTAATCCGATCCACCGCACTACCGCGTACCGGCGTTCTTGGTAAACCCCCAACCAGCGATATCCGCGGCAACTCAGCAGCACCCTCTATGTCCGTGGACCAGACATCGTCATTTTCGTCGCCAGGAGGATCCATCGACCTAAGCTGGTGGCCGTGCCTATCCCTGGTAATAGTTGCCAGTTAAGGACATCGGCTGGTTTGACTCCTGTTGGCTTTTCTTTCCCGTCCTCTTATTTAATTTAAATCGAGGTAACGGGTTGCCACGGGTCACGATTACGCAGTTAAGTTTACAACCGACATAAAATTAGAAATCCAGGACGGCGAGAAAAACTTAGGAACCCAACATCCTACCAAGAAACATTTTAAATAAATAAATAACAAAATACAAGCTTTAAAACTACTCTATCACAGAAATTATTACAGATTTTCTTCAGTGTCTTCCGTGATGCAAATCTTGGTTTCAGCCAGGATGCCATCACCGGTTCACTGGTAAACCTCTGACAAGGAGCAATTCGTCGGCAATGTTCGCCAACCAGCCTCACGCTCTATTTCCAATTTCCCTACGCAGCTGGCTTCCCCGTAACCACTTCCTAGCGATTGCAATCTGTGTTGCAAGCCACAGTTCAAGATGACGGGGGCGTCAGGGTCATAAATGGGCGAGACGTCGTTGCCTCGACAATTTATTTTGTTTAAATTGGGCGCCAATATGTTACGAACTGCTTTTTTTCGGTGGCAGTGCCGCTAGCTCAGTCTTATCTCAGGGCAGAGTACCCCTAATGCCACAGCTCGCAACATAAATATAGACAACTCCGCTGTCTCACATCACTAAACTATCGGTCATCACTAAGAACAAAAATGTAAGCAAAGGTAAATACCTATCAATATTGACGGAAAAAGGGGTCAAATTTGGTGGCTATTGATAACTTAGCCCACCCAACCATGGATGCCCTTCAGATGCTGCAGGGCACCACCCATTCTCGGTCGGCAAGAGCCGTGTGTATGGTCACCTAACCCTGAGGAGCTCCTGGGAGAAAGAAAGTACGGGCCAAAAGGTACGTAAATGCACTGTAAACTATACCATTTAACTAATGCACGCGACCTTTTTGATTTTAGGCAAACGACGAGGACAAATAAGGCTCTCTGGTCTAAATCCGGATAATCAGGGAAGTAAATATAGTAATCCAGGACCACATGTATTTAATTTTTCCTAAATTTCAGCCACTATTGGGCCGGGCCTGGAGGGCGATTATAGCCCGGGCTGAGGACTTCTCGCCGGAGGCCAATGCGGGTCTCCACAAAGGAAAACTTTTGCACTATCGTGAGTTGCGCAAGGGCAGTCCGAGGTTCGGCTGACAGACAAAATGGCGGTACTTCTCAACGCCGCGATGCGACGGCTGGAAGTTCCCGAGACGAGTTGGACGTGGTATTCCGGAACGGACTCACCGGGAAATGCTGAATGTCGTCGGCGTCGACTGTGATAGGCGATTATGGCTGGTCCTCTGTGCCTGTCGAACGGACACCGGTTGCTGGCAGCCCAAATCGTGGCTGGTATGCATGGCAAAGTCGAGCAGAAAACCGTGGATCTCCCAAGTAAATTTCCCGGGGCCCTTTGTGTTGGGACCCCGGCCGCCTTTGTAAATAATTATTAATAAATAACGAACTAACATGTTAACTTTCCTGTCACTCACTGCATCTGCCTGGTTGGACAATATGGCTGCGACTGTACTAATATCTGCTGATCATCATCGTTCCTCCCCCGCCATATTACATGGCTGCTCCCGAAATTGGGTCATTGGACACATGAGTGCCATTAAAGGTAATCTCAGAGCGAACCGGGATTAATCGTCAAATGGCCAGATCGCCCGCCATATTCATCCCGCTGCTGCAGCTATCGCCCTATCGACCTAACATATCGATAGAGTCCCTCCCAATGTCGACTCCAATTGCAAAAGCAAATGGGACTCCACATAAACAAACCACGCCCTTACTGACGTGTTCCACAGAGCGCTAGATTCTTCGGATCCCTTTTTATCAAGCATCTCATCACAAAAACAATTCAAGTCGTTCCTTTACCAAAAGAAGCAATTGCGCTCTTGAAATCACCCCCTGTTGAAGCAGGGTTATCACCCGCATTTCGAGTTAGAACAAAGTTTAGATTTCGAGTTAAATACAGATGATGAGTGAAATAAAAAGAGAATTAAGAACGCTATTGTCGAGTACCTCGACTAATAGATACCCGTTAATCAGTTAAAGGGACAAAAGGGAAATGGAGATATGCACGCAGCAAAGCGATACTGAAATGCGCGGTAGACAGACTTAAGCGTTATGGGTGTGGCAAGCTTATTTTGGGTCAATCGATAGGTATTGACGAGACTAACACATTTCAGTTAATATTTTTTATCTAGCATGAAAATTGTGGGCGCCACAGGTTAGGGCGGTTTGTGGGCGTTAGAGTGGGCGTGGCATATTAGCGTAACAAACTTGCGCTGCGTACAAGGCTACGAAATCTAAGTTTAAGATCCTATTTCTCTATCTTTGACAGTTTCCGAGATATCCGCGTTCATACCTACGATTTTTTAAAGTTTGTGGGCGGTTTGTGGGCGTTAGAATGGGCGTGGCACGCTGCTGAATCAAACTTGCACTGCGTTAGAATCTCAGGAATCTTCATGCCTAATCCGAATAGCCTACTTTATAGTTTCCGAGATCTCAACGTTCATCCGGACGGACAGACAGGCGGACATGCCTGGATCGACTCGGCTAGTGATCCTGATCAAGATTGTATATACTTTATGGGGTCGGAAACGCTTCCTTCTGCCTGTTACATACTTTCCGACGAATCTAGTATACCCTTTACTCGTAGAGTAAAAAACCCTTTTACTCTACGAGTAAAGGGTATAGCAACAGGTTAATTTTGTTTATATATTGATTGGGGCGGCCGACTGGGCGCGGTCAAAATCAAAAAAGAATAAACACCGAAATTTTAGAGTAGTCTCAATATTATTGAAAAAAAAATTGAAATCCGTATCATTAAAATACCTTCGCGGCCGGGGGTGGTTCATGTAGGCGTGGTCAAAATCAAAATAGATAAAAAGCAACATTTTACAATGCTCTCAATATTATGTACAAAAAAATTGAAATTTGTATCGTTAAAATTACCTTCGCGGAAGGGGGCAGTTCATGGGGCGCGGTCAAAATGAAAAAATAATAAATATCCGAAATTTCACTAAAATCTCACTATTTGAAGTCCGTAATTTACCGTAAATTACCTTCGCGGAAGGGGGCAGTTCATGGGGCGCGGTCTAAATGAAAAAATTATAAATATCCGAAATTTCACTAAAATCTCACTATTTGAAGTCCGTAAAATTAGAGTTTAAGCACAAAAAAAGGCAATTCATCCCAATGTGCATTGCGTGGTGTTGTTCGGGCCACCTGTTTGTACTGATCATAGTGCATCAACGTCCAAGATACAAAATGACAATGAAATAAAACAAATGGATTTTATTAGTAGCTTAATAACTTAAGTTTGTAAACGTTTTTAAATTTAATTTAGCTCTCTGTTTATTTTTAAAAGATTATTGACAAAAGAATTTTAATAAATTATGAGGACTTAAAACCATTGCATTTAAGAAAAATCATTTTTGGTGGACAAAATTGCAGTTGGCAAAAGGGCGAACGGTAAAACCGTGAGCTTTGGACCGGGAGAATAAGGGCCACATTTCAGCAACGGAACTGAGCGAGTGCGTGCCACGTGCCATAGGAGAACTGGCGTGGTGGCCTTAAGACTTAGGACTCTAGTTGGTTACAAGAGAAAAGTATGTATTCCAGGAGGAAATATATAAGGCGGCCCTGGAAGCTGGATGAGTCGATCAAGATCATCAAGTCAGATCACTAAAGCAGAAACGGGAGAACCAACAAGCATCTTCGAAAGCATCGCCATGAAAAGTCTTCGACATTCGTGATTGAGACACTTAGAAACTCCGAATTGAGTCGCAGGTAGCTGAGGTTCTGAGGGAATATATGAACTAGCTTAAGGCAAACTGTTCTACTCTTGTCGTGACCAAATCCTCACTCACTTTCTGGATTCTGAGTTTGAGCATTAATTGTCCTGCGACAACGAACCGTGACCTCGGGGAACACGTGGTCTAGGCCCAGCTGCCTTGCCGCAAGCACTACTATGGCTTAAGCAGAGCAGAGCGACTAGCCAGGAAGGGTGAGCTGACTGGCATCTCGAGACCCAGAGTCCGGAAAAACATAGAGCAACGCAGAGACGTCAGGGCGGTGAAAAACAAGAAACGGAACACTCACCCCCTTATATGGTAAATTATATTGTCCAAAAAATGTATTCGAAAACTACATGTTTTTCTTGCTTTGCAGAAGAGACAAAATTGGGAAAGGAAAATAGTTCTTTATGTTCAAAATTCAACGCCTGTTATTCAGCTGTGGGTGGCAAAGTAGGTGTCAAATGAAATGCTGCCGGCGAGCGGGAAATGGCCAACGAGAGGCCAGCAGGGTGCTACCTTTTCAAACTAACTGACTTCATCAGCTAAGAACTGGTGGGCAATCTTGCTGCTCTAGGAAAGACGGCAAGATAGGTTGGCAGACAGTGGTAAGTAGAGGTAGAAATGAAATACGGGAACTAGTGACTGAGCATAGGCCTGGTGATACTACCAATAGTAAAGGATTCGTTGGGGTTGGGGTGGAAATTTCTTACACAAGTCGGAACCGAAATAAAGTGTGTTGGACACTCTAAGAGCACATACAGGAACCGCGTCGTAGCGATGAAAATCAAGACAGGCAAGTGGATACTGTGCGTCGAATTCAGACAGATCAACGCTTAGCCTGTAAAGGATGCCACGCATAGAAGCATCCTGGACCAACTAAGGGTAGGGCGGTATATCAGCAGCTTGGACCTAAGGGATGAGTACGGGCAAACCCTGGCAAAAATTTCTGTTTTTAAAAAAAAAATCGCTATGCCTGGGCGATCCAGTGACAAGCAAAGGAGTAGGCAAAGACCCGGAACAAATGTCAGCCATCGCTGAACCTCGACCGTCAAAGCACTCCGTCGGTTAGTGCCAGATTTTGCTAACATTGTCAAGCCGTTGAACGATTTGCTAGATGACGATTAGGGAAGTGAAGGCGAGCCTCGTCGCTGACCCAGTACTGGCGAACGCGGACTTCAACAAAACTTTCATCCTACAAACGGTCGCGAGCGAGAACGGAATTGGAGCAATACTGGCCCAGGAGACCGACAGAGGCGAAAATTAAACCTCGTACTTAAACCGAACGTTCAACGGCGCAAAAAAGAACTACTCAACAAATGAGAAGAGGGGCAATTGTCTGGGCGATC